GACCTTGGTCCGTCTGACTTTTTTTCTTTTTAATCATTTCATCCTAAGCAAGGCGGAAATGCCGATAGTACACAGTCGGTCACAGGGAGTGAAAGTAACTGGATATAGGTTGAGGAAAAGATAAAAGATGAACGGGACTCAAGGAGACAGAAGATGGCGATTAACGCCGCATTTGAATCTTTGAAGGTCGTAGCTTTCAGAAGAAGCAAGTAAACGGAAGGGATTTTCAAAAGCGGGAAGTGCGAGAAAAAAACTTCTGGAGTAGATGTCGCGGTTACATTTAACTAATTCAACAGTAAAAGAGTTGGATCTAGATGCCAATCTAGTAGCACGCTTAAATTCATGTAGTCTGGGCACCAGGGAAAAATCTCGTCAGTGCAGTTACCATGAAAATATTTGTTGAAACGTCAGAAGCAAGACACTTCACGTCGGTGAGAATGTGACTGATGACGAGATTTCAAATCAGGATCGAATTTTTCCAACATTAGATTTTGTCAAGAACCTCGAGATGAATAGCAGGGGCACCAGATCAGATATAGCAACAGTATTCAATACACAGACGAATTGTAGATTTGTAAATGTGCAAGATGGACTCTGACGAGACAGTGACCCAAATTTCATTGTAGTAGATGCAGCTAGTAATTCGGTGTGGCCGCTCTACTTCAGGTCAGTAGAAAACGTGAAGACAAGAAGTCGCAGTGTGTTGCCTCCATGAGTCTAGCATCAGCCATACTGATGGCGGGCAGGGAAGTTTCTCTATGGTGATTAGAGAGTAGTTTCGTTTTGGACACACTAAAATTTACAAGCCATTTCTTGCCCTAGTTAACCACTGATATGAGGCCCTTTCCCAGAGCAGCGGACAGGTTAACTTTATCAGCTCTGAGGGATTTACTATTGAGGCAGTGTCATCTGCATAAATGCCTACTTCGGAACTGATGATATCAGGGAGATCATTGATTTATTTATTTTTTCATCTCTTGACCTTGGTCCGTCTGATTTTTTTCTTTTTAATCATTTCATCCTAAGCAAGGCGGGAATGCCGATAGTACACAGTCGGTCACAGGGAGTGAAAGTAAGAATATAATATCCAGGAGAAAGCTTTCGGTGACACCCACGTTCGTGTGAAAATATCTGGAATCGAGCCCGTTCAAAACGACCTTCAATTCAAGATTTCAAGTACGATTGGAATAATCAAACAATCGTCCTGTAATACCGTGGTACTTGAAATTAGTTAGAAGACCAGCGTGCCAAAATTTGTCAAAGGACTTCGAGATATGTCGATCCACAGCTCGAGCATCGCCGTTATTATCAACAGCTTGATATATATATATTCTGTGATAGACGTTATTACATCAGCGGTAGAGCTGACAAAACGAAAGTCATATTGTTTGTCAGAGTTGGTCCTGAGGGGAACGAAGCTTAACCACTTCGGAATTGATTAAAGCTTCGAATGCGTTGCCGAAAAGCGGTAGGAGACTAATAGAGCTATAGTTAGAAGGGTCATAAAAGAACAAGAACTACAAAGGTGGAATTCTAACAAGCTGGTAAGCTGGAAATAGCGAGGAAACAGTTGTATAATTTGGAGAGAGATGGAGCCAACTCGGGAGCACATCTCTTCAGGACGACAGTTGGGATTTCGTCACCTGCTTTATGTGCGTCTAAATTAGAAATGATATCCAAGACCAGTGACAGGGTTATGTGCTTATCAATTAGTGGAGCCTCCGTTCTAGTGAGGTACCAGGTGTAGGTACTCAAAATGAGTAGAATATTGAGCTGGAAGAGATTTTTCGAGCAAAGTATTCAGCCTCATTTTCTGTAGATGCTAGGATATCGAATTAATTGAATAGAGGAGGGATTGAGAATTTGCTCTTGTTCGGCACACTTTTGCAGAGCCGCCAATAATCTCTAAAACCGAACTTACGAGATGCTATACGTTGTTACATTCTATCAGCAAACAGTAATTTCGGTTCTTTGGGGACACGTCTGCACTTGTGACGAGCCGAAATAAAGAGACGGCTGTTGCAATCAGATGTGTTGTGCTGGTACAGACGGAATAAGTTATTATATTATTATAATAAGAACCAAAAAGATGAACACGATATTTCCTTGGTAGAATAAAAGCATCGATGCCGATTTTCATCGAGAAGGAGACCTCAGACGTGCATTTATGAACAGGCTAATTAAAAACTTCATTCCAAGGGACGTCACGTAGGAAATCACGGAACGATTCCCAATCCGCTCATTAATGACAGAAAGATATTCTGTTGGTAGAAGGTTCTTGGCTGGTCGGGGAGCAGAAAGAGATGTTTACAGACCAAGATCAGTGTTACCAAGAGGACAGAGCTGCATAGTACGACATGAGTCAAGAATAGCGGAAAAAAAAGAGAAGCATGTCCGTCAGGGTTACTGAGGAAACTCGTGGGAAAGTCCACCACTTGAGAGATCCAAGGAGATATCAATTCCGGCCATCAAGTTTTGTTAGTGCAGCCATATACCGTCG